TAACTAATATATATATGTAATTGAAAAGCCGCAACTATCATTAACGCTACTAGACGGCGCGTCATGTAGCACCGTCGGGAGAAGCACACGCGTTCGTTAACGTACGGACTACTCTGTACCTTACCCTCACTGAGGAAATACATAATCTTATATCTACTATTATTACAAGCCTCAAAAAAACCCACACAATTACAACAATTTGATCGACTGTTTTTGAAGTTATGTGTATTAAAAAGAATGGCTGATTTCATAACTTTAGCAAAATTTGTATTTTTTCCGTAACATATTAGCAAAAAAGACGCGTCATTTTTTTATTTTTACTCTCATTATTCGCTACTGTCATCTCAGTGACGATACGCTTTGTCCGTTTGTCGCATTTATGTATATGGTTATGATTAACATAATAGCAAAAACATATGTAGTTTATATCGAGTAGAATTTGCAATCAGATATTAATGACAGATACGCGATAAAAAGCAAGCATGATTTGTCATCACAGCACATAACAACAAAAATGCAGCTGAAATGCAATCGTCAATGCTATGTTATCTTAAATTATATTCTAATCTAAATAAATTTAAACTTAAACATTTATTAGAACTAATTATATCTATTGTACTATAATACAAGAAATATATCGTCGTGATATAAAGTTGTTGTTCATATTACATCTGTGTTGATGATATCAAGAATTTAAGAAATGGTAATTACGCTCGTAAAATTACAATAATGCGTTTTTGCAGATACAATAAAGAATACGATAATTTCTCTCTGCTATCAGGAACGTAAATGTCACTTCCTATATTTTCCCTCTTCTCTTTTTTGTCATAATTTTATGCCACGTGTACTGATTACACTATAAAGAAGTGAATAAATAATTGGAGTGACAAGAAGAAAAAACACTGTCCCGGATGCACATTTAAATTAATATTGACGTTTGCGTATGGCATAATTTTAAAGCGTATGGCATAAGTCAAAATATATTTTAATTACAAACGTATTATTTAAACGTATTTTGTAAACTTGTTTGATTTTTTCATTGTAGCAATAAAAAACTCACTATCTCCAAATTTATATGATATGTATGAAGTTATGTTCCTTTAAATTTATTAACACATGTGCTGTATATATTATTTTTGCTATGCTTTTATCATCATAAAAAACTAAAACAAGCTTGATTTTTGCCAACATAGTATTACATGTCAAGCACAATTTATATCAGAATTCACTTATAAAATGCGTCGTTAAAAAATTTGCAAAAATTATATCATACTTAACATAAATTAATAAACATTACACAATTGCATCCGGACATTCAGTGACGCCTATCCTTCATTTCCTTCCAATTTTCGCATATCTGATTACATATAAATTATAATACAATTATATGCATCTACAATGTTGCCACCATTTATATATTTTATGCCCCAATTAATATAGTTTGCGACAGTTATACAGGGTGTTCCATTTTAAGTGGGCACCCCGAATAACTTCAAAGGAAGTAATTTTCAAAGAAAATGACCCAGACAAAAGTTGTTGGGTTTGGAGGAGGACATCCGATGATGACATTGGTTTAACCTAGGGTATACATGCCAAGGTCATATGGAGGTCAACTTTGTTTTTTTAAATGGAACACCCTATTTTTGATTCCAAAATCTAATAGCTGGTGTCAAGAGCTTTTCAAAACACTATAATGAAGTTATTTTTCATT